CCGCGGCCGCGCTGGCCCGGGCCCCGGCGCTGCGGAGCCGGCCCGGGAGGCAGCGCCGACTGGGGGGCCCCGGGGCACCGCGGCGGGAGCGGCCTGGACGCGCGGCCGGTCCTAGCGCCCTCGGCCCGACTTCCCGGCCTCTGTGGCCCCGCCGGGGGTCCCCGCACGCTGCGAGACGAATGGCCAGACCCCGCAGCGCCGCGACCGTGCGCCGGGCCCGGGCACCTCGCCTCGGCCGCGCTCCCGGCCACTCCGGCCCCTCGGGTCCGAGCCGAGCCTGGGGCCTTGCTGCAGCCCTCCACCGCGGGACGCCCCGCTACCTGGCGCTGCCTCCGCGCTGGGTCCCCGCATCCAGCACTGGCCGCAGGGACAGCGGCCCCTCCTCTCCCCTGGCCGGTGTCAAGTGCCTCCCCCCGCGGCCCGCGGAGCCCCCGGCGGCCTTCGCCCTGCAGTTCTCCCGACCTCCACCAGAGTCCACTGCACTCTGCCTGCCTCAGCACTGGGGCTGGGGACAGCAGCGCCGGCCCAGCCGCGCCGCAACCCCCAGCCAGGTGCCGCCGCGGAGTGGAGACCAGCCGGCTCAACAGGGCCAAGGTCGGAACGCCAGGCTCCTCCTGGCCGTCCGGGAGGCTCCAGAACCTCTGTGAGATGAGTCTCCTTTAAGGGAGTGAGCTCCCCGTACCTTGAAGTGTCCAAGTAGAGTTGGGGTGCCCTCAGTTGGGCACTGGAAGATGAAGATTTCATGGGGTGGGAAGTTGAACTAAACGACATTGAAGGTCTCTTCCAGCTGTAAGATTCTGTGCGTACCTACACTCCGCCCTCACCTCTTCGCTGTGGGGGTTCTCATTCCCCACATAGCGCGGGGCTCCAGGGTTCTGACTTTGGGCATGGCTGTCTAATTCCACCAGTACAGCCACCCTCTGCTCGTCACTCTCCTCCAACAGCGACCTCTAGGACGTGGTTCTGGGCCCTCTGACCCCCAGCCTCCTTGCCTGGCTCCCCGTTCTGCCCATAGCCCCAACAGCCACATTCCACCCAGCCCTCCAGCTGTGTCGCGGTGGCCTGAACCCCATCCCCCTCCCCACACACACATACACAGAGGACATGGTGAGCCTCCTCCCCAGGTGCCTGCCCTCCCACTTGTGGTCAGGGGCTACTGGAGATGGCACCCAGGCCTTTGCTGCTGAGGCTGGTCTTACTTTTCCCTTCTCACGCAGCATCCCCCAACCCCAGCAACTCCACGCCTTTGAGGGTCACAGGTGCAGAGTTATCTAGTTCTTTGGGACCCAGAGCTGACCTTTCATCCAAGAGGGAAGGTTTTCCCTCAAATGCGTCCAGTTCCTTCAGTCTCCCCCACCCCAACCCTAAACCTCAAAGTCTGAGACCTATCCAGGCAATCGTCCTGGCTGTTTTCAATGTCTCGCTCACGCAAGTGGCCATCCAGTGCTACTGACGACAGGCCCCGCTATCCATGTCTCCACCTGGCCAGTTCCAGAGACTCATGATGCTCTGTGAGGACAAGGACTGCATCTATCATCTCTGTAGTCCAGCACTTGGTACATAGTGTGTTCTCCATAGACCTTGGTTGAATTTATATGTGACCGCAGGCGCCTAACCTCTTTGCTTTCTACTTCAAGATGGCCATCCAAAAACAGCTTGGTGGAGGGGAAGACCATTTTTAGAAAGATGACTGTCTACCTCTACCTTCAACAAGAGCTTACGTAACACTGCCCCCAAATAGCAGCAGCCGTTAACTGAGTGTCTGCCATGTGCCGGGCACCAGACATGGCGCTCTTCCGTATTCGCCAGCCTTGTGAGGTGGTTTGTACCATCCTCATGCTACAGATGAAGAAACTGAGACATAGGCAAAGCCACACAGTTAGGAAGTGGCAGAGCCAGGATTCAAAACCAGGTTTCACTTGACTCTTGAAATCACCATACCACCCCTTGAAAACATTGTAGCCGCTCTTAACAAGCTGAAATTCTCAGGGCCACCATGGGCAAATGTAGATTTCTGTTTACTAGGGCTATATATGATGACAGCATTGGGAGCCTCTGAAGTGTGTGACCTTGGATGTCTGTGTTGCTGGGGTCAAGAGGCCCAAGGTGGCCATGTTAGGGGGTTTGTGTCTAGTAAGAAGCAGCCATGGGGCTGCAGGGTTGGTTCCAGACCCTGGCCCTAATGGCTTTGGTCCCAATAGGAGGTGTATCAGTGCTGGCTAACCCTCGTCACCGCACATCCTGCTGGCCCCAGCTCCGACTGGTTTAGCCCTTAGACTCTGCATCCCCTCACTTGTGTTCACTGGGTGAACTGGCCTCACCAGAATCTCGGTTGATCTTAGATAATCTAGGCTGTGGGGCAGAATCAGTCAGGATAGGCTAGGTTATCCCGAGGTAACAAACAACCCTGAATCTTGATGACTTAAAACCACAAAGTTTCTTTGGAAAACAGTATGGTGTTTCCTCAAAAAGATAAAACATAGAATTACTGTATAACCCAGCAATTCCACTTCTGGGTGTATATCCAAAAGAATTGAAAGCAGAGATTCAGACAGATATGTGTACACCAATGTTTATAGCAACATTATTCATAATAGTCAAAAAGTGGAGACAACCCAGATGTTCATCAACTGAGGAACAGGTAAGTAAAATGTCGTATATACCTAGAATATTACTCAGCCTGAAAAAGGAAAGAAATTCTGACACCTGCTGCAACATGCGGAAACCTCGAAGACATTATGCTACATGAAATAAGCCAGGCACAAAAGGACGAATATAGCAGCGTTCCACTTACACGAGGCACCTAGAGTTGTCGAACTCAGAGACAGACGTGGATGGTGAGGCCAGGATCTAGGGGAGGGCCACGGGGAGTTAGTGTTAATGGGGGACAGAGTCTCAGTCTGGGAAGATGAAAACATTCTGGAGCTGAACAGTGGAGGTGCTTGAACTTCCGCCACTGAACTATACGTGTAAAATGGTAAATTTTGTGTATACTTTGCCACAATACAAAAATACAGCATAGTCAACTGTACATTAAATGTATTAAATAGACTAGCAAAGAACCACGTGTGACATCTTGCTCATGTCACATGTCTATCGCAGGTCCTCAGAGAGGTAAAGATGGGGGCTCTGCTCATTGAATATTCAGGGACCCTGGCCAACAGAAGAGCCACCATCTTGAGGAGGGCACTGGAGGGTGTCCCACTGACAGTAGGCATTTGTCACTACAGGCGGTCGTATAGCTCCAGTCACCTACAAGGATCCAGGAAGCAAGTGCTACCATGGGCCTCAGAGCGGTGCGAACCAGCACGGTCGGCACCAGTGCCTGCCACAGGGCCCTTCCACCCCCTGCCCCACGACCCTGCCAGCCCTGACGGTGGCCACGTGTTCCTCTAACATCCTCTAGCCAGGGACTCCAGCGGGAGACTCAGCTCCCACCCTCCTGACTCAGATGGGAGAAGTGGTCGTAGGCAGGCCCTTGGCCCCAACACCCTGACACACCTCATGTCCTCTCCATCAGTCCTCGTCTCAGACCATTGCATCTGTCTTCGCCCCAGTGGGTGACCTTCCATCCTCCTCCCTGGCTTCCAGACCTGGCTCACCTACCACCCTGCTCGAGTCACTCAACCCCACGGTGACTCACCACCTCAGTCATCTTAATATCCCCTCTGTGTCCCACCTACCAGAGAAGTACATCCTGGACCCCGTCAACACAGGTTCTTCATCTACCACACACGCTGATACTTGCACCTACTACCTTCCAGGTAAGGTTGCCATGTTAGTCAAGACTCTGCCCATTGCTATGACAGAATCGCAGCCCAACTAGCTTAAACAAAGGGCTTCAGCTATATAGAGTGTAGATAGTTGGGAGTCCAGGGTTGGGGATTCAGGAATAGGTAAATCCAGGGGCTCACGTGGTTCAGATGCCAGCTCCAGAGTGTGCTTGCTTGCATAGTCTCTCTCTCTCTCTCTCTCTCTCTCTCTCTCTCTCTCTCTCTCTCTCTCTCTCTCTCTCTCGTGCAGCGTGCGCCATCACTCAAGTGTGCTTCCCACTACGTTGGCATCTTTCCCTCCTACTTTAAACAAACTCCACAAAGCCTTGGAAGACGGCAACCGGCAATCTCAGGTTCACATTCTCCCAGCTTAGAATCCCAGTGGAAGACTATCACTCTCCCTTCCTTCAGGAAGTCCCCTAATGCCCCAGGACATGAAGCTGCAGGTCCTTTAACAATCCGCCACCCAACTCTCAAGAGTCTCAAGGTCTGAGACACACAATTGCCCAGTTTTTGGTTTTTATTTTAATTTTTTTCGATATCGCCCTCACTCAAGGAGCTATCTCTAACAGAAAATCCCAAGGATTACTTCAGTTGTTCTGGCTTTGGTCACAAGCCCTTCCTGAACCAAGTCTAAGGCCAGTGGGACAGCCTGGATTACCTGCCCACCCCTGTGAGTGGGTGCAAGAGGTGGCTTTGGGGTGGACAGATCCAGCCAGCACCCTATGTCATAGGGCAGGGCTGTTCCCCAATTCAGGGGATGCTGGGCAAACACGCTACATGCCACCCACTGGCTGCCCAGCATCCACGTGTACCTTTCCCCCCAGAGTTGGTGGTTGCACAATATCGTGACTGTACTAAATGCCACAGAATTGTTTACTTTAAAGTGGTTAATTTGATGTTAAATGAATTTCATCTCACTGAAAAGATATTGTTAAAAATGCTCCTGCTAATACAAAGAACCCACCCATTCACAACTAAAAATGTATTTACTCTCCTTCCCCACCAAAAAAGATAATCCAAGGTCTGGCCAGCTCTAAGATCAAGATCTCTGAGCAATGCGCATCCCTCTCCATGAGGTCTCAATGAGGCTTCTTTATTATCCTGTACCCTGTGGTTAAACTGTAAAGTCAACCATCCCAAAACACCAAATATATGATGGTGCAGAGAAATAGATTATCCACAGTGAAGACTGACTTTGGAAGAGGGGAGAAGGGTTACCAGGCCATGGCCCACATGACACTCTGCTAGTAGGGTAGCCAGGCTCCCATCTTGGCAGTGGAGCCAGGTCCTGGTCTGACTTCCTGGGACAATCTCCCTGGGTCATTGTCCTCCATGGCCGCAGCTGAGGAGCTAAAGGGAAGAAGTCCCCTTTGGGGAGGACCAGCTTCCTATTGGCATGGTCACGTCTCCCTGAGGATTCCTCCGGAGGCTGAGCAGTCTCTGGGTCTCGGGATTGCAATGTCACCTCCTTATGGCCTCAGCCAGCTGCTAGTCAGCTCGTTTCCTGGGAATGCCAGGGACTAGTAACTAGCCCTCCAAAGACCCAAAGCTGCTGAGCTGATTACGATGTCCCACAGTTGCCATGAGCA